GACGCCTTTAATGATCTCCCCACCATGTCGCTGAAGGACAGCGCAGGACAAATGAAAGAAGATATACACGTGCATATTACGGAGCAGCTGAAGAATCAGAAGCGTTTGTCACGCCTACCTGACGTGCTGAAGAAGACTATTCTGGAGAAACTGCTAGAAAAGGCTGATGGCATGTAAGCAAAGCAATTTGCGCTCGTCCTTGGAAATTAATTGTCATACTATCACATGCAGGTTTCGCTGGGTTCAGTGTCAACTAGACGTCATCATGACGTGCAAAAGACCTGACAGTATTCAGAATGCCCTCGACGACCTTCCAGCAGGCCTATATGAAACTTATGATAGGATCATTCGCTCCATCGAAGAAAGAGGGAAGGACGACGGCCCGATTGCCCAGCGTTGCTTGCTTTTTCTGGCCGGCGCATTCACCCCTTTGACGCTTGAACAGCTCAATGAAGCGATGATGATAGAAACTGGGCGGCTGAGTCTCAATGAGGACCTTGGCGTTATGGACACTATGGATATCGTGTTCGCGTGCGGAAGCCTTGTGACCTACAACGAGAAAACTAGGGTTGTTGCTCTATCTCATTATAGCGTCAAAGTATGATATACTAAACTCCGCCATCCTACTCGTCCGCTGATGTGCTGTACAACCAGGAATACTTGATCAGTCGCCCTAATAAAATCCTCAAATCAATCTCAGACATGCACGCACGGATCTGTGAGCTCTTGATTACGTATGTGTTATGCGACTTTATAGATGAGATATGCGCAAAAGGTATGATACTGTCTTTCACATGTATGAGCTAAGAACTGATGCTTGCATAGGCAAACATCCATTGATAGATCGTTCTGATTTTGATTTCGCCAATGGTAGCAAAGACCATCCGTTGCTTAGCTATGCAATTCGAGGATGGAAGCACCTTAGACATGTTTCGGACGAAGATCCTTGCGTTATGGATGCCCTGTCACGGCTGAACTCGGGGTTTCTTCGGAACACCAAGAAGCATCGTGTGCTTGCAGCTGCTGAATATTGGCAAAGTTGGCCTGAGGGCCGTAGGTGGTTATATGCCGCTGACACGTTACCTTTACCCTCACTTCTGTTCATCCCGCTTGTGCACGGGAAGCCGTGGATGGTCGAATCCCTCGTCAAGCAGTACCCCGATCTCCTGGACGTGGATATTGCCCCTGGTTTGGGTTCTCCCTTGATTTTCGCTATAGCCAAGCGTCCTGACTGCCTCAGTATTCTCCTGAAGTCGGGCGTTGATTTCAACAAGCTTGCTTCCTTCGTACCTTATTTATATGGCCGACACATTAGTGGTGGCTCCCATGCTCTAATTTCGTGGGCAACTGTGACTGGAAACGAAGTTGCCATGGATTTCTTGCTGTCACAAACGGGGCCCAACATACCTGATGACATCCTGCACATGGCTGTGATGGCAAGCAAGCCGTTGCACAAATTTATCAGCAAATTTCGTCAACGCGGTGCAGATGTCAATTTCATTATCAATGGTACTACCCCTATCCATTATGTCCTCTCATTTTACTCCGATTGGCCATCCTGCCAATTGCTACCCATCCTGAAAGCGCTGGTTGAACCATCTTGTAATCTTTCTTTGCAGGACAGGACTGCCAGAACAGTACTACACATTGCTCTTGATGGACGTTGGAGTGGGGCACCCCCTAGTCAAAGGGTCGCAGAGGCAGGGGTTTTCCGGAGGTTCGAGTAGCTTAGTCAGCCCAGATGTGCCATTCAGGGCATGGCAGTAGACACAGACTTCATCCCATTCGAGTGCCTCGCACATTCACTAAGGTTGGAGCTGCTGCTCCATTGTGGTGAGAGAGTGGGATTTGATCTTTGCATCAGTGCATATCTACCTTCCACATCAGAATTTCCAGATTTTCATTAGATTGATTCAAAAAACAATGATTGGTTGATATAACATTACAGCATTGAAAATGTCAAAGAAAGCAAGGCTTAAAACATCAAATGACCAAATGTCAATGTACACATGCAGAATGCATTCCAATAACATTGTCTAGGAAGGACAATAAGGAACTACATCAAAAAATGCCCCCCAAACCCCAAAAGAAACAACCAAGAGGCCCAAAAGGACAATTCATCTCAAGAAAAAGCATAACTAGCCTCGCTGATGCTTCCTCCTTGAACACTTCAGCTGAATCCTCCCCATTAGATACACCAGAACTCAGACCCAATGAGCTAGAAGATCAAACTGTAAATCAAGATAATTCAGAGTACAAATCCTACAAAGTCCACAGGCAGCTAGAGCAGATGGACAAAGAAGATCAGGAATCGTTAGAAGGAACACCAGATCCCAAAGCCAACACACTCCCCACCTTCGACTTCCAACTGCCAAAGGCCCTAACCTCTGCAGTACAGTCACAAATCCCAATCGCAGCATGGCCAGCCCCACCTACCACATCAATCAGGACCTTTTTGAAACCCATCAAACCATTGATCATAGCACCCCCATCTCTACCTCAGCCAAAACCTAAAAAGATGACAGGGAGCAGCAATGCCCCAGGATGGTTTCATGGCAAATCAGACAAGAATGCACAGAACTTCCTGTGCAAAATAGAATGGTACATTGTACTCAATGAGCTGAAAACCAAGCAAGGGAAGATCATAGTATTCAGCACTCTTCTTTCTGCAGGTTCAATTGCAGACACCTGGTGGAACAAATTGGATAGTACACACAAGACCATGTGGACAGATGTCAAAACAGCATTCACAAACTGCTGGCCAGTGATCACAGTAGCAGAGAAAATGGGACTTGACTACCAATGTGAAATATTAGCATTGCGTTTATGGGAGGAAGAAATAGGCAAACAGATCACCATGGTGGGCATCCCTACATGGGCACATCTACAGTTCCATATGAATCTCCAGCAATTGGTCAATGAAGCGGGAGTTGACACAACAGCAGGGCTCATGTACCAAGTTCAAGAGAACCTGCCAACAGTAGTCAAAGCGCTCACGACCCCAGGGTTAGCAAAATGGGACAAGTTCCTAGACAAGATCAAGGCATTGGACACAAACAAGTTGTGAGAGACAGCAGAGACAGCATGGAAGAGGAAGGAAGAAGAGAAAATGCAGAGTGCTCGCCTTGCAAGGCTCGAGACTATGCAAATGGATGCGATAGAGGTGATGTGTTTGCAGCTGCAATGCACTAACATAGGACCCATGCCAATGGAACAGAGCGCCACACCATCACCAAACTCAATGCCATGCATATGCTACAGTGGCTCAAAAAACTGTCCACATGTTTTTGCATTTTTTACTATTTACAATATTGTGTGAGAATACATAAAGACCTCAGTGACATGCTAATACCATATTGTAGTGCTGCTTCAGGGCTTTGGATTGAGCACCATATCGTGAGAATCAGAGGAGATATGGTGGAGATACAAGGCTTACAAAATCATGACTCATGCAGACAGTTTTTTGAGCACATATTAAAACTATATAAATCATCATTTATGACACCATAACAATCATGCCACCATTAAATAAATTATAAAGTGGTGTCATTATGTCATTTTAAAACCATATCTAACTATACAAACCAAAAATTTCCATATGTCATGGTTATATTCACTATGAAAGCCACCCCCCCTGCTCAAAGGGATAATATCCTCTCTCTTTCCTATTCTGGCCTCTCTGCTTGTCAAATTTCCTCTAGAACTGGAGTATCCAAGTCCACTGTGGCCAAGTTCATCAAAGAAAGTCACACAGACAAGGAAAACTTCTGTGAAGGGCGTCCATCCAAGCTCACCTCTACTGATAGGAGGGCTATTATTCAACATATCACTACAGGAAAGGCTGATAATGCTGTCCAGGTCACCTATTACATCAATTCCACCATCACATTCCCTGTCTCTTCATACACTGTGAGAAACATTCTCAAGACAGCTCATTTCAGGTCAGTAACAAGGAAGAAAAGGCTCTCCTTTCTATCACACATATGCAGAGAGGACTAGCACCCTTCTTGTTTCACATATATACCTTGCCATCTGACCCAATCCTATTTATTGTGGTCTTATATGATCATATAACATGCTTCCAGTCCATGTAATCCAATTCTGATGGGCTAAGGCAAAGGTTAGTCATCTCTGCATATGTGTGATAGAAAGGAGAGCCTTTTCTTCCTTGTTACTGACCTGAAATGAGCTGTCTTGAGAATGTTTCTCACAGTGTATGAAGAGACAGGGAATGTGATGGTGGAATTGATGTAATAGGTGACCTGGACAGCATTATCAGCCTTTCCTGTAGTGATATGTTGAATAATAGCCCTCCTATCAGTAGAGGTGAGCTTGGATGGACGCCCTTCACAGAAGTTTTCCTTGTCTGTGTGACTTTCTTTGATGAACTTGGCCACAGTGGACTTGGATACTCCAGTTCTAGAGGAAATTTGACAAGCAGAGAGGCCAGAATAGGAAAGAGAGAGGATATTATCCCTTTGAGCAGGGGGGGTGGCTTTCATAGTGAATATAACCATGACATATGGAAATTTTTGGTTTGTATAGTTAGATATGGTTTTAAAATGACATAATGACACCACTTTATAATTTATTTAATGGTGGCATGATTGTTATGGTGTCATAAATGATGATTTATATAGTTTTAATATGTGCTCAAAAAACTGTCTGCATGAGTCATGATTTTGTAAGCCTTGTATCTCCACCATATCTCCTCTGATTCTCACGATATGGTGCTCAATCCAAAGCCCTGAAGCAGCACTACAATATGGTATTAGCATGTCACTGAGGTCTTTATGTATTCTCACACAATATTGTAAATAGTAAAAAATGCAAAAACATGTGGACAGTTTTTTGAGCCACTGTATGTCACTAAAGAACAACCACCAAACTCTCAACAAACCTTCTGTCAGTGTCAACCTCTCACACAGGAAGAACGAGACCTCATGTGAAGCCATATCAATGACATAGCCCATCAACCAGACACTACAATAGGATGAACGGCATATGAAGACCAAATCAAACAGTGGTTCAGAAAGTATGGCCAGACTGGCCAAGTCACAGAGACCACCCAGTTTCCACTTTGTCCTGGTAGTGCCATGATATGCTCAGGCAAATGTTTCAAATGCGGCACACATGGACATAGATCTGTGGAATGCCCAATCCCAGAAATGTCGCAACTCCCAATCCAGGAGAGAATCTGGAGGAGTTTAGCAGCAAGAGCGTTAGGTGGATTTAATCGTGCAAACGCTGTACAGATCAATGTAGTGTTCGAAGAGGAGTATGAATGGGACCAGGGAAAAGGACCAGGGTTGTCAGTGTAGAGGGACACCAGATGACCCAGGCAGACATCATACCCCAGCAAACAGAACAGGCAGTCCTTGCACATGAAGAGGTGCCATGCGAGGACAGTGCCCAAAGCCCCGTTGAAATGACTATAGACACAGAACCATACAGTGTAACAACAACACATGATCAATATGATGTCAGTGACTTGTATTTGACAGAGGAACATGAACATGAAAAGCGACAATGTGTACCATTCCTACACCACACCTCATTCCTGGGAGTACAAGGCAAGGTAGTCAGGGTTAAGGCATTGTTTGATGAAGGAGCTATGACCAGCATCATGAGTGCATCAGTATTCAACAATGTCAAACATAGGCTGGGAAACTGGACACCATCATCAAAATGTCTCCGAATGGCAAACAGAGCAATAGTCCAATTGGAAGCAGTCTGGAGAGGAGAAGTGAGCATAGGAGGAATATGAGCACAAGGAGAATTTGAAGTATTGCAGAGTGGTGGAGGATGGAAGTTCCTATTTGGGAAACCACTGCTACAAGCATTCAAAGCAGTTCATAACTACAAAGTAGATGAAGTCCAAGTCACAGGAATCAGAGGCACCGCAATGTTACACAACCAGACACAAGCAACAAGAGCAAGGGTTGATGACAATGAAACAACTCCAAACCATACAAGAAAGCAAGAAATCCCAATCTGTATGATGACTGATGAAGAGATGGCACTGGCAGAAGAACTGAATGTCACCTGGAAGGAAGTTCCTACTGACATCTTAGTAAACAACAAAGCAGTATTCACGCGACTCACAGAACCACACAATCCGATACAAGCAGCATGGATAGTAAAACATGTTCAATATGGGGAAGACCTTACACCTGGAGAACGCAAACAGGTAAAAGTGCTTGTCATGGAATATGCTGATGTCTTTGCATGTTCCCTAGGCGAAGTAATACCAGTCCTGGGAGCAACACACAGATTGAACATACCAGAAGGAACAACATTTAATCTTAGAGTCCAACAATGACCTCTCACTCCTCCACAGACGGAATTCCTTCACAGGAAAATTGATGAAATGCTCAAGGCTGGAATCATTGAGCATGCACCTCCAGAAAGAGTCAAGTGCTGTGCAAACACAGTCCTGGCAAAGAAGGCACATGAACAAGAAGGCATGACACTGGAAGAGCTACAACAGGCAGTAAATGAGCAATGCATATGAGAGGGCCAAACACCAGCATTCAAGCTACCAGAGCACAAAATCCCAGAAGGACCGAGAAAGCCAGATATAGCGCCAAAACCTCAAAAATGGAGAATTTGTCAAAATTTTAATGAAGTCAATAGAGTCACGATGATTGCACCTATGCCCCAGGGTGTCATATCCCACAATCTGGACCCATGTTCCATCATATTCCCACGCCTTCCAAGCCTACATCTGGACCCCACTTCATATCCAGCTCATTCCCAGATCCCCTTCCACTGTGCTCCATACCTCAGCAGGATCGACTACACTCCTGATTTACCCCTGAGCTCCGGACCTCCGGATCCTCGCTGCTAGCCTGATCCATACAACCCTATCCTGTCCACCCTATGCATACTCCATCCAGCAAGACATCCAGACTTCACCTCGTCTCGGATTCCAGACTATATCCACCTTCTCGTATTCCGGTCCTGTATCCACCTTGTCTTCCAGATCCCCAGATCTCCGGACCTATTTCCACCCTCTGTCCAATATCCTGCACCTATCCCCATTTAGGCATTCTCTGCCTTCCGGCTTTCAGTTACCTCTTCTTCCATCTTGCTTATTGATCCTTGTACGAGTCCTCATCTCCGAGTTCATTTACTTATGTTCTGACTTACTTACTAATGTGTTTCCACATGCTCATACATAGCCTTGCTCCTTTGCTTACTGATCCCCTCAGATATTGTTCAGTATATAACCCCTGTAGATACTCCTGTAGTTCCTCAGTTTGAATATCAACTTAGAGTTGCCCAATCCTCTCTCGGACTTTGGTCCAGCTAAGTCTGTCCTACCCATCAGGCCTAGGGATTGATTCCCTAGGCCGGAGCTCTGCCTTTCCGGCACTTACCCTCTTTCTGAACTTAGGTCCAATCCCTGTCTCTCCAACTCTACCTTAGGGTAGTCCACCTCTGTTTGTTTCTACATCGGACTTCATCCGATGTAGCCCCTATTCCTTCTGGACCTCCGGATGTCCTGTCCTTTGGACGTTCTGTCCTCCTAAACCTCAGACATCCTATCCTCCTGTCCTTCAGACATCCTGCCCTCTGTACCTTCAGACATCCTGCCCTCTGTACCTTCAGACATCCTGTCCTTCGTACCTCCAGACATCCTGTCCCTCTGTCCTCCATCATCCTGTCCTCCTGTCCTCCTGTCCTCCGGACCTTCAGACCTCCTATCCCTCCATCCTGTTTCCTGTAGAAGTATTACCTTGCAGTGGGAACTCTCCCGCACTCCTCCGGACGTTTCCCGCGCTCCTCCAGAAGTCCTCTAGCGCTCTCCAGCAGAGTAGCCAGCCTCTGGAAGTCCTCCGGACTTCGTCAGACCATCATCGGACCTCATACGAAATGAAGGGCACATACTCGGGTAAGGGGCACAGTGTATGAGCTGAGGCCAAGCCCCTCTGAGTCAGTCTCTCTCCCTTGAGCAACATGGTTCTTAACAAAAGGCCAATCTCCTTCCTATATAGGCTGAAGACAGGAAAGGCTTTTCTGCCTGTTTACAGCTTTAAGATTGGCTGCCTTAAGAGTACCCCTGACTATTTGAGTGGAGAGAGCAGTGTAGATGATGTCATTAATGAATTTGGTGGCTTGAGTAGCATTGGCAGCCTGCCTAGTTGGAATATTATGAACAAGAGATTTTTTGTTATATGATGTAAGCTTGAAAGGACAATCTAATTTGATATTTTTCTTATCTGGAATGACTTTTTATGATCCTCATGATAGTAACCCTGCTCAGACCAGTTTTAGTAGCAATCTGCCTGGTATACAGATTAGAAAAGCTGATGATAATAACAATAGGGGCTATTTCAGCTGTGGGAGAGAATTGCAGCAGAGTGGGGCAAGATTGTTGATGAGGAATGCCTCAAATTGATAGATATTATGCATAGAAGAGTGGCAGAAGTAATTAGAGCAACAGGAGGAAACACCAAGTACCAGAATTATAGAGATTGTGTTGGTCAAACTGAAAGTCAAAAAAGTGTCTCAATGAGTCACCAAATTAAATTAACCATATCTTCACTTGGTGACATAATTTTCTCACGCTAGAGGGATAAAACATGAAGCTTAGAAGCAGAGCTTTCCCACACCTCCCTATGGCTTAGTCATACTCTCATACCCTAGCTCATAGTACAGCAATTACACAAAAAGTCACAAACATTGAGACACTTTTTTGAGCCACTGTAAGTTTTCAGATACTATCTGGGGATTCCCAGTCAAGATCGAAATGGACTGCCAAGCATTAAAAGACATACTGATTAGCAATCATTTAAATGCAGCTCATGTGCGATGGAGGGATGGAATATTGGCCCACAACATAGTAGACATCCGACATGTACCAGGGAAGCTCAATGTCATAGCAGATGGGCTCAGTAGGCAATGGGAAGGGCACCCATGGGACATAGGGTTAATTGACGGGAGCAAATGGATGGTTAGCGAGGACTGGGAAGATAACACAGGTTTGATCAATGACTTACTTCAAATATCTACTAACATCAAAGATTCAACAGCATTGCAACTCCTAGAACGATTCACAGACGAACCAGTATTTCGGGAAGTTGTCAAAGCAATGCTGCAGATTGACAGGGGAACCACAGTCCACAACCAGAAATGTGCTGTCTTACTACTTGAGGGTCTTATATAAGTTGAGGTGAAATACAATGACTATCACAATTGTACTTCAATAAGACTAAGGTGCCAGCTCCTCAAGTTCACGGTCAATGGATTTTCTACTTCTTGGTTGATAATGTGTTGTTCATGGGTGGCCAAAGGGTAATAAATTACTTCTTTGCTAGATCACTTCTTGATAGTAAAGGGAAGTATATATTTTGTCAGGTTAACTTAAACCTAGTAGGTAATATGGACCTCTGCTGAATCGAATATGATAGACTGTTGTATAGGCAATCCCTGTAAGATAGTATACAACCAATCTAGACTAGAAATACTATAGTTTTCAAAGGCAATCTCAAGGCCTTCACTTTCTTTGTAATCTCACACTATTGAGACAGAAAGAGGGAAAACTCCTGCACTTCAAATCTTACGAATCTCACAGTTTGAGACAAGAAAGAAGAGGGAAAAACTTGTTGTATATCTGAGAATGGAGTCCTTATATACATTTTAGAAACCATCCTTACTAAGCAATGACTCATCACTGGATTGGTAAGAATATGCTTACAAACCAAGCCTTTTGGTGTGCTGAATCAGCTGCTTACTAAAGTACATGAGTAAAATATTACAAAGCATGACAAATCATGACAAAACATGATAAGTCATGGAAAAATCCTTATAAATCAGAATATTACCAGTCACATGACATGCTTACAAACATATCTGAGTGGTTCACTGATGTAATCAAGTGGCTGAAACTATAAATACAACTAAATAAATAAAGGGAAATAGATGTCTAAGCTCATGAGTGAGAAATATATCCTCATACACTCTCCTAATCATCTCCTTCTATACTTCTTCTTATATATGTCATGGTATGAACTCCATACCATGCACAACAGCACAAGACATAGGGCATCCCAGTACCTAATCAAAAATGGCAAACTCTGGAAATTGCAGGGCGGAACTGCAGTTAGAGCTCATAGCAAAGTCGAATGTATCAACAGAGAGGAAGCTCAGGCACAAGCAGTAAAACAGCACAGCACAGGCAGTCACTGGGGATGGGACATGATTAAGATAGCACTAACCGATCAGATTTACAGCCCGAAATTAGACACATCCATCATGGCAGCAATAAGTGACTGCAGTCGTTAGAACTTCAGGGCAATGCCTCACCTCCACTCATTATTAGAACCAATAACACACAGGCACCCATTCAAACTCCTGGTAGGAGACTACCTCACATTGCCAAAGGCAAAAGGATATAACACCCTGGGAGTATACCTAGACACATTCTCACAACATGTGTGGGTATTCAAGCACAAAGGAGGAACAGCAAAGACAACTGTTGAGGGCCTAGAACAAATATTTAGGAACTTCACAGCATCCGAGACGTTCATGTCTGACAGAGGGAAGCACTTCAACAACACTGTTGTCAAAAAATTTTGCACTAAGTGGAATTGTAATACTCACATTATCGCCACATACTCACCATGGATCAACAGCCTAGTCGAAGGCACAAACAAGATCTTGTTGCACGTACTGAAAAGGTTATGTGCACCAAATATAGGAGAGGACGACTACGATGCACTTTCATGGGATGAACTACCACTCAACTGGCCAGACCACCTAGACAATGCGGTCACAGCACTGAACCATCACATACTTCCAGTGCTTAAGTTCTTGCCAAAAGAGTTACTCCTAGGCCAAGTAATCAACACCCCACTGTGCAAACACAACAATGGCTAGACACTTGTTAATGTGCCTAACCATAAATATTGTTGTAGGTTGATGCTCTGCCTAGCTGTTACACTTGCAAGCAAGAATGTTTGACCCTAAAGGGAATTGCTACTGAGAACAGCCAATGATACTAAAGACCCGAAAGTGCGCAGAGCGCGGGAACAAGTGCGCGGGTATGTAGAGCGTGGGAATGCAGAAGTGCGGTCAATGAGTGGTCAATGAGCAGTCGATGAGTGGTTGATGCAGAAGTGCAAGATGCTAGGGTAGGGAAGTCTTAAGGAATGGCGCAGGTAACAAGTGAGGGCAAGGGTATTGATTGCACGGGTAAAGAAAGTCAAGGTAAGGTGTCCAGGTATAAGGTAAACAATAGGGGCTAAAAAGCGCACACTAATGGTGACTGCTCCTAAGTAAAACCTAGGGGAAGGAAATACTGCAGAAGGGAAGTAAATACGAAGTAGTCACTCTAGGCACTTTATACTAGCTAAACCCTCTCGGAAACAGAAGGGACAGGACAGACAGGCAGTAGGAATATGTAAAGACATGTAATAAGGCTGCAACACTTGTTACAACACACAAGGCAAGGCAAAATACATACCAATGAGGTAGGATGGACAATGGACTGATGCGGGACATCTGTAAGGTAGTCCAAAGACGTGGGAAATCGACCACAGTTATGCGCACAGCACGGGAGTGAATGCGCAGGTCCACAGCGCATGGGAATATGCATCCAGAGCAGGTTGAGTGTGGGAAAAGCGGTCAATGGTTTTGTAGCTTTCCATCACCTATATCAAAAGATGGCCATTGCAAGCCTAGCGGGAATATGATTGTCACACCGTGCATGGACCTCAGTAACAGCACCTCCACAATATGCACATCAGATGTCAGTGCACAAATGGTGTATGTAGCACAACAGCAACTAGATGGTTACGATGCTGCAGTCCGACATGCCATCAAACGCAAGGCCACATTTGACAAATGCATCTTAGAACGCACACCAGGTGAAGTCATTTTTTCTGTAGGACAATTAGTTCAATTTTATCACAGTAAACTCAACTATACATTCAACGCCAAACGCAAGCTACTCCCTAAATGGTCACCACCCCATCATATTACCACAAGACTCAGGAACTCATACAAGCTAGAGACGCTGAACAGAGAAGCAATGGCAGGAGAAATGCATGCATGGCGCCTGTGCGCATTCATACCATGCAAAGGAACAAGACTAGCCAAAGAACAATAGAAGTTCAAAGAAGAACTGTCAACACAAGAGAAAGAAAGGCAAGGCAAAGAAGAAACAAACAGAAACATACAAGGAAGAGGATGCAGAACAGAGGAGGACAACAAGGAAAACCAAGATGAAGAAGCAGATAATGACAAAGACCAGGAAATAAGGAATGGGAAAGAAACAAGAGAGCAAGAGAGTGAGGGCAACAATGAAGATGAGGAAGGCCAAGGGTGAGATGGCAAAGAGCGGAGGAGAGCAGTGCATGAGCAACAAGGACACCACCAGGTTTTTTTCAAGGGGAGCACGTGGAGTGGGGCACCCCCTAGTCAAAGGGTCGCAGAGGCAGGGGTTTTCCGGAGGTTCGAGTAGCTTAGTCAGCCCAGATGTGCCATTCAGGGCATGGCAGTAGACACAGACTTCATCCCATTCGAGTGCCTCGCACATTCACTAAGGTTGGAGCTGCCGCTCCAACGTTTAGAAGATGTTGTCACATACCTTCTCGAGAAAGATGCAGGGCTGTCAGCAACTGCGACTCTTGATCCAGACATGTGGAGCTGGGCTAGAAACATGGCGTTGTTTCCCAAGGTTCAAGCAGCGGTTCTTGCTGCTGATCAACTGTGCACCAGAATTAAGGGGAAGGTTGTTAATGCTACTGCGGAATCTCAAATCGTCGAATTTTCGGTTACAGTCAATGCCAACCACGATAACCCTAATCCGATTTGTGCTATTGTTATTTTAGCGATACTTGATGGTGAGGTGTCAAATGATGCGTCAGGTGAGTAACTGCTTTCACCCAGCCGTATAATTTATCGATTAGTGAAAGTTTCGGCCAGATGGTTGGCGTCGACCTTTCATGCTGTCATCAGTCATTTCAAAAGGACATCCGAAACCCCCCGAAGGATCGTCCCCTCGAACTCGGGTTCGTCTTTGCATGGATACGTGGGCAGCATGCCTCGAGTTGGTTGTTCGGCTATCATCAAAACAACGTAGTTACCAGGATGCTACAGCAATTAAGCGATGATAAAGACTCGACTGGCACCTCCCTCTTTTTGCGGATGCACAAAAATGAGCGGAACACGGAAGTCTTTGAACTTGGGATCGAGTTCATACTCGACGTTTACAGAGGTCCTTTATCTTAGTCACGAGGTATGTGATAATGCTTCTCAAACATCAGGTGTTCTAGATCTTATCTTTACGCGCAGGATACTACAAGCGTCTAGGGTCATGAGGAGATGTATGCTAGTGTGGTTATTCATCTGTCATGTTAGTGTATTCTTGAATTGACCTTCGAGGTGGTAGACACGTATCATAATGGCTTTGCAATCACCATCTACAATTTGTCCTTTAATGCAACTACATCTGAACTCACAGAACCGCCTTCATTATGACCGCCAAGGAAGGCTATTAGGTAGAAACTGTATTGCTTGAATTATGAAACTACTTGCATTAACACCATCGATGGACGAAAGGTGAAGACAAACAGAAGCGAGTCTACGTAGATATTACGGTGCTCGCAGACGTGCTCATCCCATCGCGATAACAAGGGCATGACTTTGAGGAGGAGCGGCATGAAGACATGGCGGACATGATACATGTTTTCATATAGGCGAAAACTGAAAATCGAGGAAAGAGCGAGGAAGGAAAGGTAAAGGTATGACAGAAAGGGACTGACATGATAACGCGGTTGAGGATATGAGCTTCGGTACGCACAATCGCTCTTCCCAGTCCACATCTGCTCCGTGTCCGCCTGTTGTTCCCCAGTGTGTCCGTTGTAGAGCGAGGTGCTGATCAATAGATTAAACGCTGTACACCCCATGCCGCTCCCAATATAATTGCTGTTACTTCTGTATACAGGAACACGCCAAACTGCAGGTGTTGGGACGTGTCGAGATCGTAAGAAAGCGAGGGAGAGGAACTGAAGTCGTTTGTCCCTCATCCCTTCAAGTTGTCCTGGTATTGCCTGCTCTGAATTTCACTGTATCACTCCGAGTCGCATTGGCCTTCATTGGGCTCTTTCCTGTTAGTGTATCGTTTGATTCCTCATGCCCTCGTGTCTTCTGATGTCGGACGTTCCCTGACTTCCGTCGGGTATTCGCAGCCTAGTGAATCGCACTGTGGGTGAATTATGATGGGTCAACTTGACAATGCCAAGTCGGCAGCTGGCCGAAGAACGACTCTAACGAGGCCGAGCCGATATATTCCAGTTAGTATGACCATCTGATCAATCATGTGATATTAAATGACGACAACTTTCACAGGTCGGTGACCCGAGATACTCAAAGTTTCTGAGGTTATAAATACCAGAATCACATTGTAAGTACAGCTGCTTGCTCTCAATGCAACCCATCATCCTGTACGATATCCCATCCAAGCTTCCCAAGAAGAAATGGGCGCCCAACCCATCAAAGACGAGGTGCTGTGGGCATATCGCAAAACCTGATGGCCGACTCACAAGCTTGTCAGATTCTGTCTCGGCCATAAAAGCTTTCCTTATGAAGTTATCTGGGTAGAGTTTTGTGACATTGCCGCAACCATGGAAAGTATTGGCGCATCTCCAACAGCTGGGAAAAGGTATACTGTGCCAGTCATTAAAGACCCAAACACTGGTGCAGTGGTCTCCGACTCCCATGCAATCGCCAAATACCTCGACGAGACCTACCCTTCGGACAAACCGCTTATACCCCACGGGACACACGTACTTATGGAGACCTTCGAGACCCTATTCATCAACACAGTCATGGCGCCGTCCTTCAGGCTTATCATGGCCAGAACTCTCGAGATACAGAATGATATTAGCCGGGAAGCATTCATCAAATCGCGGTTAAAGATGGCCAGAGAAACACGCTGGGAAGATATGGCTCCTGAAGGGAAGGCGCAAGAAATGTGGGCTGCATTGAAGAAGAGCCTTGGTGTGGTGGATGGGTGGTATCAAAAGAGCGGGGGCAGGTGGATTATGGGAGACACGTTCTCGTTCGCGGACATCGTCGTGGCTTCTTGGCTAGCTTGGTGGAACGTTGTCTTGAACGAACAAGAACGCCGAGAGGTCAACGCTTTACACGGAGGAAGATGGGCACGTCTTTTGGCAGATGTAAATGGCGAGTGCAACACAGATTTAGGTCCCCTTGAGGAACATAGACATTCCTTCTTATGAGTTTCACGGATTTCACTAGTT